TCAATCGCTGGTACCAAAAAAAAAAAAAAAAAAGAAAGAAAGAAACTGTAATCTCAGCACTCTGGGAGGCTGAGACAGGAGGATCAAAAATTCTATGCAGACAGGGCACCTTAGTGACTTAGTGAAACCTTGCTTCAAAATATAAAAATTTTAAAAGGGCCAAGGATGTGGCTCAGATTAAAAGCCCTGGGTTCAGTTCCCAGTACCAAGAAGAAGAAGAAGAAGGAGGAGGAGGAGGAGGAGGAGGAGGAGGCAGAAGAGGAGAAGGAGGAGGCAGAAGAAGAGGAGAAGGAGGAGAGGAAGAGGAGGGGAAGAAGAGGAAGAAGTAGGAAAGAAAGAAAGAAAGAAAGAAAGAAAGAAAGAAAGAAAGAAAGAAAGAAAGAGAAAAGAAGCACAGAATATAAAATGCAAGCCCAAAATTTGATCATTAGATTTAACAGATATATATGTATTCTGTCAGCTTGCTCTTAATTTCTGTACTTGGCTCACTGAGGACAGGTGCCAGATCATTTGTGGACAGGCACAAGCCCCTGGAGTACACTTTGAGTAGCAGTGGTAAAAAGTCAGGGTCAAAGCATGTGGGTTCTAGGGCTGGGAATGTGGCTCAGTGGTAGAGCACTTGCCTGGCACACAGAGGCACGGGGTTAGATGCCCAATATGGCAGGAGGGGAGCTTACACGTTCTTATGCCACCTTTGTGGTTAGCTGGTTGAGTGGGCTTCCCTCTCTGAGCCACATGGTCTTCACTTGCCATGGCAGACCTGCAAGCCACTCACACTGCAGTCATTCATTTAAAGAAAGGTGTTGGGGGCTGGGGGTTTAGCTCAGCGGCATAAGCACCTGCCTTGCAAGCACATGGTACCAATTTAAAAAAAGAAAGAAAGATAGGTGTCAGTACTTTACCTTGACTCTAGCTGATCCATTCTTTCCCAAGCAGAGCAGGACAGGGTGGGGGATAAAATTTCAGTTGTACATGGTAGATAAGTACAGAGTGCGTATTTAAGTGGCCCCAGGCTTTCTCAGATCTCTGTCCCACGGCCTATGTCTTCTACATGCCGCTGGTGTTTGGACAAAAAGGGGAGGATAACAGAATTTCTGCCTGCATTTCTCAAACTGTAACATGCACATAGTGGGGGTGGGAGCTGGTTAAAATGCAAGTGCTGACTCAGTGGGTCTGGGGTAGTGGTGGGGGCACCAAGGTTCTGCATTCTCACCAAGCTTTCAGTGGATGCCCAGCCTCCTGGCTCTCAGACCATACTTGGAGCCATAAGGGCTTATGGGGGCTTATTCAGAAAGAGGAAGCAGATCTCTGAATGCCCTTGCCATGCCCGCCCCAGTGCTATGATAGGACCAGCTGGAAGCTTGTAGATCTGGTGGGGTAAATGGCATTGGCTGCCCCCAGAATGGTGATGGCTGTGGTGTGAACCTCGAACTCTGACTGGGACTGCAGCTAGAAAACTCTTGGCCCAACTCTGGTGCACGTACCTGAGCCCTGTCACTCCAGCCAGCTGCGCCTCCCCTCAGCTCTCATGGGTGCCTTGGAACCCCTGAAGGGGCTGTGATGCCCCCACCTGGACCCAGCCAGGGCCACCAGCTGTCAACATTGCTACCTTCCACCATCCTCACATAGGAGCACTAGGGAACTGCCAGGCCCTAGAGCCAGCCCCAAGGAACCAAAGGGCAGCTTTACTTACTACACTGGGCCATGCACTGTTTTCCTGAGTATGGAGCCCAGCACACTCCTCCCAGACCTTCCAGTATAATCAGGACCCAACACATGGCCACCACAAGCATGCTCCCCTCACTTTGGGAACGGACTTCTCTCTGGCCAGATCCTCAAACTGCAAGATCAGAACTCTTTCAGATTGCTTTCCCCAGCTTCGGCTTCATCTCCCCACAGTCCTCACAAGCCCTGTAGGAAAAGCCACTCCCATTCCTCTTCCTGTCCATCTTGATCCACCGAGTAGGAACTAAAGGAACGCACGAAACTCTGTTCTGGCTGGACAATGGCTGCCTTACGTTCTATTTCCTCCCTGTGGATTCAAACACAATCTAATGTGAGCAAAGCTAAACTATGACTTCCTTGGTGAGCACTGACTAGCTGCTCTTCTCTGCTGCCCTGAGGTCCATCAGGAATTCACATGAAAATACTGCCCAAGCCAGACACGGTGCTGCACACCTGTAATCCCAGCACTCAGGGAGACTGAGGCAGAGGACAGCAAGTGGGTGTCCAGCCTGGGCAATTTAGTTACTTAGCAAGACCGACCCTGTCTCAAAGTAAACATTAAAATAAAGCGCTGGGGATATAACTCAGTGTGAAGGCCCTGGGTTTGATGCCCAGTGCCACAAGAAAAAGAGAGAGAGAGAAGAGGAACAGAGTGGAGCACGGAGGAGAGGAGAAGAGAGGAGAGGAGAAGAAAGGAGAGGAGAGGAGAGGAGAGGAGAGGAGAGGAGAGGAGAGGAGAGGAGAGGAGAGGAGAGGAGAGGAGAGGAGAGAGGAGAAGAGAGGAGACGGGAACCCCAAATGCTACCTGCTCCTTATGAAATGAAGGAGTCTCTCTGCCCCCAGGGATCCGTGAAAAAGCCACCCTCTTGGCAACTTGGAAACAGAGCACACTTCCTAGGGAGGCCAGAAGCTGAGGTCCAGGATGACTATGTCATCTCAGATAATTAATGAGCAACTAAAGGAATGTCAGTCACCACTAGGAGACCAAGGGGCAGGGAGCTGTCTCTTTGACATCACCAGCACCCCTTGTGATGGGTGTCTTGCCAAACACCCTCAGTGGCCTTTGAGGAAGGACTTGCTGTCCAGCTCCCAGATCTCGACCCCTTTATGGACTTCATGGCCTGCTGAGCTACCTGACGTGGACCTGCTTAGGGAGCAGCCCATCTCCAATGACCAGTGGCTTCAGGGGCATCACCTGGGCAACTCAGCATTATGGTTGGGTGCACTCACTGGCCAGGGCCTCGCCAACCCTCACCACACAGCCAGGTGCTGGCAGGGCCACCGCATGGGACAGTGAAAGCAAATTATTGAGCTGAAGCTGTTGGCTGCTGCCTTGGTGACATAGCTGACCACCCTGCACTAAGGAACCCCCAGCCTGGGTATTCTGTGCTAAGTTGAGAAGAAACTGTGGGCCACTGTAGCTGTCTGGATCTTGGTTTCCTTACTTCTGAAGGATCTTTCCCAGTTCCAATATGCAAATGGCTAGTCACTCACTATGAAATAGAATCAGAGACAAAATAAACTGCCCACAGGGCCCACCATCACAGTGTGCACTCATAACCTCACCACAGTCGGCCCTGCCACTTGCAAAAGGGCTCTACACCCACTCAGGGCGCCCAAGGGTGTCTCAGGAGGGAAGTCCCTCTGAGGGAGCACTGAGAGCAAATGGGGCCCAGGAGGAAAGCAGAGCCCTTTCTCTAAGTGTTTTTTTCTCCAGGTTTGGCTGAAAAGAGTCAGCCATTTGGGACTCAGAGGATGACCCACGAACCACCGGAGGAAAATGGCCTTTGGGAGCAAATGGAGGAAGCGGGGCTGGCCCACTCCCATACAGCCAAGGGACATGGCCCACCCTCCTCACCCTGGGTTTGCGCCAGAGCACCCACTGTAGCTGGGAGGGAGTTGTGGGCCCAGGTAGACCCAGAAAACAGCCGCAGCCCTCTAGTCAGCTGCGAGTGTTTGTTGTCACAGCTGCTCCTCCAGCTCGACTGTTCCAGTGAGCAAAGGAATCTGTTTGTCTGAGAAAAAGAATGTAGCAGAGGCGCAGGGGGGGGGGGGCAGCCCAGGCAGCAGCCACAGAACTCCCCCAAACCAGCCAACCACCCAGAGTCATCACCCAAGAGCTGGGATGCCAAGTTCACCAGCTCAGAGACACCGTCCTAGCTCCACCCACACCCTTTCAAAAGGCTGTTCCGCTGTGGCCCAGGGCTTTGCACCGAGTCCCCAGGGCAGGTGCCAGGCTGGCAGGCGGGGCGCACAGAACAGAGGCCCACCCTTCCACCTGAGGTATTTTATTTACTTCTCCCTTTAACAGACAGCCCTCCCCCTTCCACCACACACGCAGTCTGAGGAGGAAGTCAGTCAGCTGTGTGTGTGAGGAAAGAGCACGCAGGACTGAAAGCAAACAAGTCCTCACAGCCAGGCTGAGCGCCACGGGAGATGAAGAAAGCAAGCGAGAGGTGTCAGGAGACACCCCAGCTCCAAGGCCAGCCCAAGGCCAGCCCAGCCAAAGAAGGCAGAGCTGGGCCAGGGGAGGGTGAGAGCCATCTGCCAAATAAGAGGTCCAGCCAAAGCCCTCCAGGTCTAGCATAGTGCTCTGGAGCACTCTGAAATCCCAGCTGTAGACCAGGCAGAGCCAGTCCAAAGATTACCTTTGTTTGGGTGGCTGTGACCATGGGGACATCTGGGATCCCAGGAGAAAGTCTGTGTCTCTCCAGGTACTCTTGGTACCCATGCCTGCCCACAGCTCCTTCAACAGCCCTCTACAGTGACCAAGTTGTCTCTTGGCTGGAACAGCGGCGGAAGGTAGACATAACTTCTGGCACGTTCCCCACTGCTATTGCAATCTGGCTTGTATTGAACCTCTCGGGTGTGGGGGAGTAGAATATATATGTAACCACTGACTTTCCCCCCGAATCACTTTGACTCAGATTAGTAATATCAGCTTCACCAAGGTCCTCTCCTGTATCAGCCTCTTTATATTCAACCCCTGTGAAAGGCTCTAAGAGGCTGAAGGACTTGGTCAAGTTTCCAATGCAAGAGTGACGGAGGGAAGGCATCTTAGGTTGTATCTGCCTGAGGGAAGGCGTCTTAGGTTGTATCTGCCCGGAAGCAGCCCCAGAAATAAGGACTTAGGCCAAGTGATCCACTGGAGAAGCGGCCAGTGAGGTAGAGAAGGAAAGTAACCAGTAAAGGGGGTATTATTAAACAAGTCACCAGAATGACACACTGGGGTCAACCCCATTGGGTTTCTTTGAGAGATCTTAGCATTATCTCACCTGAGGAGTGGAGAAGCTGAGGTACGTCTCCCCCATTCCCATCTACCGTGGCCTCCGTACCCTCGGGTAAAGTTCTCATGCCCTCGGAGAATGTTCCGGATGGGAGAGTGCCAAAGGAATTTGGGTAGGGGCACCAAGAACTTGCTGCAGAAGTTGACCTCATGCTGTCCTTTATGTGGCTGGCACCTGAGACTGGAATCTTCAGTGTCTTCCAGCTAGTCTAGAATGAGATCAGTCAGTCAGTAGTCATGGTGACGGAGGGAGGGGAACACAAACAACTTCTCCACTCACGCACACACCCACACATGCTCACATGCACAGGCACACCCCTACACATAGGGGCACCCAGCAGCTTGTGCCATTTGAATGGAGCTGGGCTTTCAGATTGACGTCCAAGTGAGGATTCCCTTGAGGCCTGTGGCCCATACCAAGTGGGTAGGTGTAACTCCCAGAAGGTCCCATGCCTTAGAGTAAAAATCCAGATCCAATTCCCAAATTTACCGCCATACAATCCAGGTCAGGAGGCAGGTTGCTGAATATCCCAGTGCCTATAAAATGGAGATAATCCTCTGAGGCTTGTTCTAAAAGTCAGAAGTGAGAGAGAGGATGGCCTGCCTACCGCAGTGCTTGGTCTAGAATAGGGATAGTTGGCCCTAATTTTTTTGATTGAGGTAAAATTCACATAACATAACATTCACTATTATGAGCATATTAAAATGCACAATTCAGTGACATTAAGTGCATTTCCAACATTGTACAACTATCACCACCACCTAATTCCAGAACATTTTAGCACTGGAAGAGGAACCCTGAACCCATTCAGAAGCCACTCCCTTTATCCTCTCCCCCACGCCCTTGCCAGCTACTGACTGACTTTCTGTTTCTATACATTTGCCCATTCGTAACAACAACCATAAATGGACTCATACAGTATTTGACATTTTGTGACTGACTTCTTTCACTTAGCACAATGTCTTCAAGATTCATCCACATTGTAGTGCGTGTCAGTGCTTTACTGTTTTCCATGGTTGAATAATATTCCATTGTGCAAATCTGCCACATGTTGGTTATCCATCAGTGGACATTCGGGTTCTTTGCCTGCTTGGGCTGTTATGATTAGTGCTGCAGTGAACATTCATGTAAAGTTTTTGTGCAGATGTACGTTTTCAATTCCCTTAGGTATATATCTAACAGTGGGATGAATGATCACATAGTGACTGTGTGTTTTAACTTTTTGAGGAACTGTCAAACTCTTCCATAGCAGCTACACTGTTTTATACTCCCATCGGGATGCATAAGGGCTCTAATCTCTTTAATTCTTACCAACATTTGTCATTTTTTCTTTCCTTCTTTCTTTCTCTCTTCCTCTTTCCCCCTCTCTTTCTGCGTGTGTTTGTTGAACAGCCATCCTATGGGGTATCAGTTGATATCTCACTGTGGCTCTGATTCACATTTCCCTAATGACTAGTGATGTTGAGTACCTTTTCATTTGTTTATTGATCTATATTTTTTAAGATGTTGGTCATTCCAGCAAAAATTACCCTGGGATAAGCAAATACACAAGAATGCAGACTGAATCTAGTAGGAGCAAACGCTCTAGGCCTCAGTCCCCTGGGTTAAAATGTCACAACACCTAGTTGGTTTTAAGGACTTGGGGCATTGGGTCAGTTCAGTGATTAGGAGTGGTACCTGGGCTGAAAAGGAGGAGACCATAGGGTCAGCTGCTCTGTCTATTGATTTCCTTCTTTGGGATACATTTCCAGGGTTAGGCTCAGCAGGATAAAGGGAACAGACATAATTGTTGACACACACTTTTAAACAATCTGTAGGGTGGTTTTAGTATGACTTCTCAAGTACTGGGTGTCATTATACTTTTTTAAAGTTTTTTATAACCATGCATAAATTTTTTATATTTTTATTTTATGCTTTCATAGTATAAATATAAAACTTCTTTTTAGATGTGATATTTTCTTTTAGGGAGTTATTGCTGTATTTTGCTCATTTATTAATAATTTCTTATCGGAGGAGCTGCGCGGATCCGGAGCCGCCTGCAGAGGCCCCTTCCTTTGTCTGGAGGAGGAGGGGTCCCGGGTTCCTGGGGCACCTCGGCCCGTACCCAGCCGCGCCTGGCCGTCGGTGTGCGGAGGAGGAGCTGCGCGGATCCAGAGAGCCTGCAGAGGCCCCTTCCTTTGTCTGGAGGAGGAGGGGTCCCGGGTTCCTGGGGCACCTCGGCCCGTACCCAGCCGCGCCTGGCCATCGGTGTGCGGAGGAGGAGCTGCGCGGACCCGGAGCCGCCTGCAGAGGCCCCTTCCTTTGTCTGGAGGAGGAGGGGTCCCGGGTTCCTGAGGCACCTCGGCCTGAGCCCAGCCACGCATAGCCATCTGCGTGCAGAGGAGGAGCGGGGTAGATCCGGAGTGCCCGCAGGAGGCCCTTCCTTTGTCTGGAGGTTTGTGGATATCTCTGCAAGCAGGGAGGGATCACAGGCTCCTGAGGCACTGCGGTCTGTGGTGAGTACCCTAACCCGGCTGCGATCCAAGAGCTGTGGATCTACCAAGGGGCAGGTGGGCGCACAGTGTCCCTGAGGCCCAGCTTGTCTGGAACCGCGGAGTTCTGAACAAGCAGAGAAGGGCCATTGGTTCTGCAGGCCCAATGGCCTGGGGTAGAGTGGTGCCAGAGTCTCAGTAGCTGCAAACATAGAAGGGGATTTTCAACAGATCCTGAGGAGGCTTTCAAATAACACTTGAAACACAGAAATATAGGAAAATGACAAAACGAAAGACCAAATTACAACCTCAAACCTCCAGCCCATCTCAGGAAACCCTAGGAGAAGTGTATTTAGAAGAAAATATATCCCATCCTCCTCATATATTAGACACAATAGCTACTGAAGTTGACAAGCAACTCCAGGAAGCTTTAAAGAAATTCAAACTCGAAATAATTTCCCAGATAAAAGAAGAAATGATAAAAGAAATGAAAGAGATTCTAAATATATCTAAAGAAAACACAGATAAAAAATTGGAGGAATTAAACAAAAAGATAGAATCCCTAGACGAGCAATATAAGAAACAAACAGAATACATAATGCAGATGCACAGAGATATACAGGAAATAAAAAACTCCACTGAAAGTTGTAAAAACCGCCTTAATGAAAGTGAAGATAGAATTTCAGACCTTGAAGACAGGATTGCAGCAAGTGAACAGGAAAGGAAAGATCTTTTAAAAATAACAAGGAATCAGGAAACAACAATTCAACAACTGCAAGATGATGCAAAGAAGAATAACATAAGAATGATAGGGATTAATGAAAAAGAAGGAGACAACATAAAGGATATCAAGAGGATATTTAGAGAAGCAATAGCTGAAAACTTCCCAAGCATGAGATCAGAAACTGACATCAGGATCAGTGAAGCATATAGAACTCCAAATAGTCATAACCAAAATAAAACTACACCCAGACATATAATAATCACCATCCCAGAAATCCAACACAAGAATAGATTATTAAAAGCTGTCAGAGAGAAAAGACAGATCACTTATAAAGGAAAACCTATCAGAATCACAGCAGACTTCTCATCACAAACAATAAAGTCAAGAAGAGCATGGAGTGAAGTATTCCAGATCCTAAAGCAAAATGATTTCCAACCTAGACTGATATATCCTGCAAAACTATCATTTAAAATAGATGGTGAAATACGATACTTCCATGACAAAGAACAGCTGAAGAACTTCATGAACACCAAACCAACCCTGCAAAAAATATTGAAAGACAGTTTAGATACACAAAGGAAAAAACCACTAAGCAAAGCAAATAATTAAACAGAACAGAAAGATAAAGATGCAACAGCAGAGAGATAAGAATCCTACAATTAAACAACATTTAACAGTAATAACCATTAATGTAAATGGTCTCAATGCACCAATCAAAAGAAACAGACTAGCAGAATGGATCAAGAAACAAAATCCAACCATATGCTGTTTACAGGAAACCCATCTAACCCAGAAGGATACTCACAGACTGAAAGTCAAAGGATGGAAAACAATTCTTCATGCAGCAGGAATCCAAAACAAGGCAGGAGTAGCCATTCTGTTTGCAGACAACGTGAACTTTAAACCAACAATGACCATAAAGGACAAAGAAGGTCACTACATACTCGTAAAGGGAAAACTCCAAGAGGAAGAGATAACTATCTTAAATATATACGCACCAAACTCCAGAGCACCCAGTTATATAAAACAATTATTAACAGAAATGAAAACTCAAATTATCAGTAACACAATTGTAACAGGAGACCTTAATACACCACTGACACCAAGGGACAGATCGACCAGACAGAAAATGAGCAAAGAAATAACAGAACTGAATCACACCTGTGAACAAATGGGTTTGATAGACATATACAGAATGTTCCACCCAACAACATCAGAATACACATTCTTCTCAGCAGTACATGGATCATTTTCTAAAATAGACCATATATTAGCTCATAGAACATATTTAAACAAGTGCAAAAGAGCTGAAATCATCCCTTGCATGTTATCGGATCACAGCGCTCTGAAATTAGAAATTAATGATAAAAGATACTGCAAAAATCCCACAAACACATGGAAACTGAATAACACACTCTTGAGTAATCAGTGGGTCACAGAAGAAATTAAAGAAGAAATCAAACAATACCTAAAAGAAAATGAAAATGCAGATACAACTTACCGGAATCTGTGGGATACAATGAAAGCCGTTCTGAGAGGAAAATTTATTGCACTGAGTTCCCACATCAGGAAAACAGAACGAATACAAATAAATAACTTGATGCTACACCTCAAACAGCTAGAAAAAGAAGAGCAAGTCAAGCCCAAAGCCAAAAGAAGAGAGGAAATTATAAGAATCAGAGCAGAAATCAATGCAATAGAGACTAAGAAAACAATCCAAAGGATCAACAAATCAAAGAGTTGGTTCTTTGAAAGAATAAATAAAATCGATAAGCCCCTAGCCAACCTTATTTAAAAAAGGGAAGAAAAAGCTCAAATTCATGCAATAAGAAATGAAAAAGGAGAAGTGACTACAGACCCAATAGAAATACAGATCATCAACACCTATTTTGAAAACCTCTACTCTCAAAAGTTTGATAACACAGAAGAAATAGACAGTTTCTTAGAAGCATATGAAGTGCCAAAGCTAGATCAAGAGGATGTAAAACTGT